GACTTTCGGGGGAGAAAGTGTACTTTGGTGTCAGGGGTTTTTCATTTGTTATATTTCGGTTTATTACTTTTGTGTCATCACATAGTATCACACCAGTATATTTATTTATTTATAGTTTTGTACAACCGCCCTGTTTGATTTTTCCTGCTCGATCAGAGTATCTTGATGACGGGAAAATCTCTCTGCTGTCAGAATACAATCTCTGAGCAGGGAGGATTCCCTCATCCACACAGTTGAAGGTGTGGATGGGAGAATCTAGTTAGTTTTTTACGTTCAATCTTCTGGTTGAACAAAAAATGATCCATCTATGGCCTGCCCTATACATTCCTGATGCAATCTGAGGTTTCAGATTGCTTTGTGCATAATTGATTTTACATAAAATGTGTATTTTACTATACTTGTGTTGATTTGTCTGTTGCTAACTGGTTTTAAAAAAGAAAATATAGTTAAAAGATATAGTTACAAAAAGTTCTCACCAAAGAGTAAAGAGGTTATAACTGGCAATAAAAGACCAAGTTTACTGCTTTATGGCAGTAGTTTTGTTTGTTTACACAACACAGCCAAAGTAACATTGAGACTTTTTAAGAAGACAGTTCATGTTCAAGGTGAGAATTCCACCAGGTTGTAAATTGAGCAAACTGCAGGCCTGGTGGTTCCCATGTCCCTTAAATGCCTCACTGGTTCTCTGCTCTTCTTCAAGTTGCATTAAAGTTCTTTCCTTGTCTTCAGTTATCCTCTGACAAAAAAAAGGTTAATAGAAGCTTGCTGTGGTAACTAAAACAAGTGGTTTATTTGGGCAAATAAGTGCCTGAAAGACAGCTTCAGTGTCAGGAAACTTTGCTTCAAACTTGAGAAAAATAGGAGTTTCTGCTACTAAATGAATATTGTGATTCCAGCACAAGAATGTCACTATGAGGGTATTAATTGCATAGCAATTAGGACAGTGAAATTGCACGTGCATTTGTCCTGTGTGAATGGGGCAAAAACAACAGCTATTAGTCTATTTCCGGAATGTTTTTAACTGATTTAAAACAGAAAATACTGCATAGATGGTGCTAAGTGTCATAGGAATTTTCTATAATATTTAGCACCATTGAAGAGCACATAAAATACCCTAATAACATTATTTTTGCCCAGTTTGCAGAGAACAAATAAACATGCACTTTCACTGGTCAAATTACAATACAACTTTTTTTTATAAATATACCCCTAAGCTATGAATTAAATTATTTACATTGCTTATAAAATAATGAAAAATCTCCTTTTTTTTACATATCTGGATTGATTTACTAAAAATAGATGATCTCTGGCTGTCAGTGCTAGCAAGGACTCTATCAATAATATTAAGTTTGCTTGTTCAGGTTTATCTAACAGTGTTGATAGAGGAATCCTTCCCATGGAGCTATTGTGTTCTTCCAGTGGGAGGAGCCACAGTAATTATTGCTAGTGACTATAGATGTTGGCAATAATTGCATAACAAATCCAACAGGCTGGTTGTACCCAAGTCATAGAACAACTAATGACTGCCCCTAGATGGTTTGAATCTCGGTCGGTCCCAGCTGAACTGGTCAAGATATGCTTCAGCACATCATGTCCTCCTCACCACCCCGTCCTCTCTCTGTGACAGCAGGCGGGACATTCCTCTCCCCGCACTCACTGTCACATTTTCAAAACAGTGCGAATGGGGCTCTGCCCACATAGAGGCATGAGCTGAAAACTATAAAGCTTGTCTGCAGGTGTCCGACATTGCACCCATGGTCCACTGATCACTGATCAATGCTAGGCAGGCCCCAGCAGGAAATGTATAACACATAATATGGGAAAATTTTAACCACTTCAATACCGGGTACTGTTACCCCCTTCCGAACTAGGCTAATTTTCAGCTTTCAGGACTGTCGCACTTTGAATGACATTTGCGCGGTCATGCAACACTGTACCCAGTGTATGTTTTTTAGACAGATATAGCTTTCTTTTGGTCGTATTTAATCACCATGGGTTTTTAATTCCTGCTAAAAAAACAGGACCAAAAAGGACCACACATTTTGAAAAAAAACCTTTTCTTAGTTCCTGTTATAAAAATTTGCAAATAAGTACATTTTCTTTTTCACTGATGTGCACTGATAGGGCTGTACTGATGGGCATTGACAGGCTGCACTTATGGGCACTGATAGGCTGTATGGATGAGGCTGCACCGATGGATACTGATGAGGATGCACTGATAAGGTGGCACTGATGGGGCTGCACTGATGGGCACTGATGAGGCTGCACTAATAAGGCAGCACTGATGGCCACTGATAAAGTGGCACTGATAGGCACTGATACGCAGCACTGATGAGCAATGATGAACAGGCACTGTTGAGGAAGTACTGATAGGTGGCACTGGTGGGCACTGATAAGCACTGATATGCTACACTGATGGACATGGATTTGCACTGATGGGGCTGAATTGATATTTTGCACTGTTGGGAACTGATATGTTGCACCGATGGGAAATGATGGGGCTGCACTGATAATCAGGGCACTAATGATCAGAACCCTGATTATCAGTGTAAACGTCCCCTGTCACAGGATGTCGTATTTGTTTACATGTGATCAACTATGATTGGACAGAGTTGATCACATGGTAAAGAGCTAACGTCATTGGCTCTTTACACTGATCGGTGATGAGCTGTGTCCCTAACAGATCACTGTGCAGTGTGCCCCCTGGGTTGCGCATGAGTGGCATGACCAGTAAAACATATGACGTCCACCCAGAGGGACGAAAGGCCCATCCTGCCATCAACCTGCTATTGGCTGGGTGGGAACCAATTAATATTAGCTTGATGTGATCAGATTCTAACGTTCATGCATGCACAAAGAATATAGCATGATGGATTATAATGAACACTTCCTTTGATATAAATATTAACACAACCTATTTACAAAGAAGAAAATATGGAATGGAATACATATTAAAATAAATGAATCCCTGATCCTATTAGTATGTGTTTAAATGACATAGAAGCACTGAATTTGTTTTAGAAAATGAAGCTATTAGTGCTCATTTATAACAGCATTTTGTAGCACACCATACCTAATCTCAAGATCATACAAAGACTCAAGAATACCTGTACCTTTTCAGTATTTGCATTTTAATGTAATTCATTACTATAAAAGAGTTCAATGAAATTTACCATACTGATAGGTATGTTAAAGAGCAGGTTCTATAGGGATGAATAAAACCATATGCAGAATGCAATGAAGACACACTTTTAATGTGGTATACACAATTTCATACAGACGTACATATTTATAAAGCAATGAAACTGACATTCACCAAACATTCACTGCAGCTGATTCTTCCAGGTACATATGTTTTAAATGAAAATGAATGATTTAAGACCAAAACATTTTTGATGAAAGTCACAACCACTGCGTTCAAAATATTCCCTATAGAGTAGTACAAACAGGCTGCCTCTGGAAAAAATATACAAAAATGAATGTTAAAAATCCTGAAACAATACTTAAAATGCATGTTTAAAACACTTATGTTTTTAAGTACAGACGTCTAATGGACCCTTAAAGTGGTTTGAGAGCCAATATGCTAATGTTTTCTTTTTTAACTCATTCTACCAATACATTTATAGGCCTAATAAATTTATGATAAAAGAATATCCAGCAGAAAATAAACAACTAAAAATCCATTTTAGAGCCTATGTCTAACATTATTTAGGAGGCAAAGGTTTGCAATCTTGAATTTTGGGCCTTTGCAATAGGTGTCATTCAATTCTTTTAATAAATTTGTGTATCCATAGCCCCAAATGTATAAGCATTTTAAGTTAATAAACAGTATGGCTTTTTAGCAGCACCATCAGAGATTGGTGGATCATCAAACAAAGCGTCTACTTTAGTAAATCATGACCAACATACCCTTTTCTCATGAAAATTGGAGAATTTGTACTAAACGATGTACTGAAGGAATTGTGAATGTTTACTTTGCAAATTAATGTTCACTGAACTTAAAAGTGAATAAGGTGAAGCTGCGCTCAACTCCGAGCATGTGCTGGCAACATCCTGTTTTTTTTATTACCTGCTCTTGTTTGAGTATTAAAAGTGCACATAGTGACCTGGACATGCCAGAGTGAAGAAGCAAGACCGCTGAGCTCCCATTATCTTTGGGTCTAATATAGCAGCTAAATTGCAGACAAATAGCAAGTATCACAGCTTGACATGCCAGGCAAGAGAAGAGCTTCCTCCCAGCCTGTCCAAGCCTCTCACACCTGCTCCAGAGCACTCATTTCTTTATTCATCAGTGGAGCAGACAAGAACTCTCCTGCAGCCAAGATGGCGCCAGTATGCTCAGTTACACATGCTAATTCTTCTGCTGCTGGAGCGGACATGGAGGAACCAGACCGCTCCAAACAGGAAGGGAGCTGCAAAAATACTACAGTTGATAGCCTTTTTAAAACACATTTAAAGAAACCCTAGATCACTTAACCTCCCTAGCGGTATGATTATGTCCATATTTCTGTGCTCAAAGCGGTACATTTTTTTGCATGGAAATATGTTTTTTTTATTGTAGGCCTGTAATTTTTAGGAATAACTCACTGAAATTTGTCCGAACAAGAGTCTAGTAAACATCCCGGGTAGGATAAAACTTGAAACACAATATCATACATTACAATTTAATAAATAATCATAAAAAATAATAATATAATAATAAATTTAATTCAATAATATAATCAAACCAAAAACACTGAAATTTGAAATATAACGCCAAGTTCGCACATCACTGAGCAAAGTCACAAAATCGTTTTCAGTGTTTGATGACCAATTTGCCCACGAATCGTTATCACTCAATTCTGCAAGTGGTTCTAATTTACTATCGCTGTTCTCTAGCTGGTCTAAAACCGCTTCTGACCTAAAGGGACGCTTTTTGGACGCCATGGACGTTTCTCAGTTTCCAGGCAGAAAGAACAGTAAAATTCAGGCAGGGCACAGGACAAAGCACTAGGGACAAAATGTATGTGAAATGGTTTGATACAGTAATGTAATGTTTTACTATGTTATTTTAGTGAATTTAGTGAATGTCACTTTTTGTCATTTCAAATTTCCCACCGTTCCATCCCCCGTACATCCCGACGCTCGCAGGGGACGGAACCCAGATGACAGATGCCGGCATCCGCCGGATTACATTGCCGGGGACACTGCAGGAGGGACATCACGGGAGCGCAGGACAAGGTAAGTGATTGAGGGATCGCGGAGCAGCGCCGCATGGTAAGCCCAAGTGTAGCTTGGGGTTACCGCTTGTGGTACTGAAACTTTACCCCGAGCTACACTCGGGAATACCGCCAGGGAGGTTAAAAGAAGAAACTACTCAACTGGACAATCAAGCAGACATGCTGGAATCAGGGCAGGAGGAATTGGCACAAATAATTTCACCACTCAGAGATAAAGCCTGAAGTCCTGACACTATGATTGAATTCCTTTTATTACAATGACAGCGTAAATGAATATAAGAATCGTGATCACAGACAAAACATACATGTATGAGGCTTGTCTGAAGCTACGCATGGTTCCATCTTAATCTCCACACTTCAGGGTTTTTCTTTTACAAATCTAAGGGGATACAGCACAGAAAGATGTGGAGATTGACAAGGCACTTCTGGCCCTTATGCCCCCACCACAAGTCTTCAACAGGCCTAGATACTTAATTTACAAGATACACAAATGTGAGGTCAAAGAAGCAATCATGTGGGCTATGTGTGGAAAACAACATTTTGGTTTATGATGGAACTAAGCTGGCCCTTTTCTGTGACCTCTCTAGACAGACTTTGATGATGTGTAGGTCTCTCCACCCAGCGCTAGATGTCCTCTTTTAGGGAAAATAAGGGAGCTTGACTAAACACATAAATGCTCCCTCTAGCCAACTGATACATACAAATTGATTAATCTATGAACTAGATTATCCTACTGCTTAGAAAGGAAAACCCTAGACAAACATTGGTACTATGCACATTGGTTTTATGAATACCGTAATAAATGTAGAAAGTGAATAGCGAGATCTTTACACAAATAACAAAGCCTCTGTCATGTGCATAAACTTATGGCCCATGATAAACCTATTGTGGATACCCTTGGCATTGCCCAGGGATTTAGGGAATACCACCATTTCTTAAATAACCTAAAACTCTCGCCTTCCCCATTGACAGAAAAAATAGGAGAGGGTATTCAAATCTACTTGCAAGAAGTGGTGTTCCCACAGCTGCGCTATCTATACTACAAAAACTGGACCACCCTATCACCTCCCACCAATTGGCTACTATTATTTCTAGTCTTCCTAAAAGGAAAAGCCTAGGGTTAGATGGCTTTACTAAAGCTGACTTTAAAAAAAACGATCCCATCTGCTGACAGAGCTGTTCTGTAGATACCTAAATTATATATCACCAACCAACACTTCCCCTATGGAGGCACTGTTAGCACACGTGATGGTGATACCCAAACTGGGGAAATATCTGGTGTTTTGTCACAAATACATGCCCATCTCCATTTTCTCCATTTTAAAAACACCAATTTAAAAATCTTCTCTAAGCTTTTGGTCTCAAGACTTCAAGAACATATTCCTTTAACAGTTCACCCTGAACAAACTGGCTTTATCTTAGGCAGAGAGGCTAGTGATAATACAATCTGTGCCATCAAAATATTACATTGGGCATGACATGTTCCAGATCAGTCTCCTTTCCTGATTTTATCAACGGATGAAAAGAAGGCCTTTGACAGGGTGGACTGGCTGTACTTGTGGAGATTGGGCCTAGGAAGCAAAATATTGGGGTGGATATTATCTCTTTACCAAAAACCCAGAGGTGAGGGTAAAAATTAATGGAGTACTCTCCCAAACCATTCCTATTCATAATGGCACCAGGCAAGAGTGTCCTTTATCCCCCCTCTTATTTGCGCTGATCCTGGGATTCCTCCTGAAAATTAAACTAAATTAAACTAATATCGGGGTATCCATGTAGGCTCTACAGAACATAAATTGTCTGCATACCCTGAGGATGTTCTCTTTTATTTTTCCCAACTATTAATTTATCCATACTGATTCATGAACTACAGCATTTTGGCCACTTATCCAATTTCTACATCAATGTAAACAAGTCTGAAATCCTCCTGACCTGTCTGACCTAGTGTCTAAACTTAAATGGACTTTTCCATTTCCATCTTACAAACTTTATGGAGTGCTGCTCGAAGTGCCAATCCTTCTTGCTCTACTGTTTGCATTGGGTGCCAACATAGGTAAGCTCATTCAAGAAATGCAGTGTATTTCAGTATGAACCACCCCACTCCGAGCAGCTCAAAGTGCCTGAGATGTAAGAAGCGCCCCCAGCCTCAGCTCCTCATCCTGCCCATGGGGCCTACTCATAAAGGCTCTCTTAAGGCTTTTAAAAACAGTGCTACTTCATATATTTTAAATGCTGTGAAGAGTCTGATACCCAGATTTTAGAAGCAGGATTGCTGTCCCATTGGAAGAAGGATGTAGATAAAATAATGGAAGCTGAGAGACAGGTTTTCACTATTGCAGATAAACTAGAAAAAAATTTGAGACATCTGGTCGGGCTGGATGTATTACTCTTTTGAAATTAGTGATAACATATAAAATGGCCTCACCTGCCTAATTAATTATTAGTTCTGGACCCCATATTGTTCCAGTGGGAGACTTATTCTTTTAAGGTCCATTGCTTACTTCTGAGGCAACCAGAATTCCTTGGAGTAGTGGATCATCATAATACTGCTTTTGCTCATACGGCACTAATTTACTGACTTACAAACCATAGCTGCTTGCCCTACTTACGATTATTGTGATCACTTGACATGCTGGTAGGTTAATAGGATCCTGTCTAAATTGGCCCTAGTATGTGTATATATGAATGTTAGTTAGGGACCTTAGATTGTACACCCCTTGAGGATTAAAGACTGATGTGCATGCACAATATATATGTAAAGTGCTGCGTAAATTGACGGCACTATAGAAGTACCTGTAAAAAAATAAATAAAAATAAAATCACTTGTTACACTGCTTCCCTGCTAGGCTTTTCTTATTGTCATTTCCCTTTCCATGTGTCAAGGATGCTATTAAGCACATTTGGAGCACTACACACTTGATAAGAGCACTTGGGCATGGCTTAATTTTAGCTGTATGCCTCTTCCTATCCAGTATGGTGTTGTTTTTAAGAATGTAATTCTTACTACCCACCGTGCTTGTTTCTGATGCACACCCATGTTGTACAATCTTGGAAATTACTGACACAACCTTTTTTGCTGTACAAAAGTCTTTTATTTCTCATTTTGCTAAAGACAATTAATAAAAAAAAATTATACAAAAAATGTGCACATAGCTTCACATTATCCACTTTTTGGTAAATCAGCCCAGATGACCCACTTTTCATGCTGTGAACAGTTTTAATATATATATATATATATATATATATATATATATATATATATATATATATAAAAATATATGTAAATTAAATGTCTTGCTAATAACTACTTTTATGCATTACTAGCTCATTTAGGTGCAGTTTCTTACATGTTGTTTTATTATAGCTGCCATACTTCTGGCATTACTACATACAGGCAAACAATTAAATGTAGTACTGTATTCTACTTTATCCATGTTTTAGGATAAATCCATTTTTGCTGCCTTATTTTTTTTTGGAACATCCTACAACTTAGACACATTAAAGTTAAAGTCTACTTTAAGTATTTAAAGCTTACATAAGAATATTAAAGAAAAAGCAACCAGTTGCAGAAAAAAAAATTAATGCACATTCATGAATACTTATTGTATACTGAAAGCATTCAACAGCGTCTTTGTAAAGTATTACGAGAAAGATACTATATCCTTCCAGTTGGTTGATTTGTCTACTTATCTATGTCTACAAGTAGCAAATAGAAAGCTCACTTGTCTGTTTGGTTACCCACTGTGAGACCTGTGACCCCAGTTCTTCCCAAGCTTTTCTAAATAGGGTATGTTTGTATATAGGTCTGTCTATGCAAGTAAACTGGAGTTAACCATTTGCAATCACACTCAGAGCTGAAATTTATTTTTGCTTACACATTTTGTAGTCTTAATTTTATATTGATAAATTTTGTAATGTACTTTGCAAGTTGAGTTCAAATGTTTTAACAATTTATTTACAGTTTTTTTAATTTTTATTTTTGGGAGGCTTGAAATTCATGTTTAGGGCCACTTATGTGTATGTAGTAATCCATGTTTATGCATGTTGTTGTGCATTTTATTAGTTGTTTACAGATCATTTAGTATGCAGAATTAAGGGAAACATATAGGATAAGGATTTTACATAGTGCAAATGCTTAAAAAGGTACATAATTGTATGCTTTTTGGTGCATTTACAATTCCTTTCAAGGGCCTGCTTAAAGTTTCCAGCACCCTCGTTAACTCCTCCCTGGAGCTGGGCTTTAATGTAGCATGTATTATACTTTAAAAATACACTAAGCTGTAGCTTAGGGCTTTCTACTTTTCTGCCACTTAAAAAGGATGTGTTGTATTGCAGCAAAATGGACAAGAGCTGTTTTTTTATAATTGGAAAAGCATTTTGAAAATTAATGTTTTAACTTAATTTTTGAAGTTAATTTCACGATTTTGTTTTTTGTTTTCCAGATTTCTTTCTAAGACAGATAAATGAACCCTTAAAAAGGATGCATAAATCTGATCTTCATCATGTCATAGGTGCACAGCAGCACCCTTCTTTACTCATAAACCCGCTAATAAGAACAACTAAGCATCGGTTTAAAGGATAACATAAAAAATCCAGATAAATATATTCATACCTTCATACAAAGTGGAAAACAGATATGATGCCTTCAAACATCACAAGGAGATGATAATGGTTGAACCATGAAAAATGGTAGAACACTAGCACAGACAGATGGATGCTGCAACTAATTAAGAAAGGGCAATCCAAAGAATGTCATGCTGTTTCCAATCTAGCAAAAAAGAGAAGAGATGTTCTTGGAGAAGTATATTTTTGTTACCTTCAATGTCTGAAGCAAGAAGCAAATGCTATATGTAGTTATGTAGTGTAGAGAAGCTTTTTTTTTTTTTATTTAAGAATTGCACCTCCCAGAAAAAAATGTAGCATAGCGTTTTGACACAGCTTCTCTTCACTGTTACAATGACCTTGTTTTAATGTCCTCTGCATTCTAGCCATGCTTCCTCTATATACTGATGGTCAGATTAGCTTTGGGTGGCATATTTGGGTTTACTGCAATTGCAGTGCAAAATGTACAATCAGAGGACACCAGCATGGGACATATGCAACAGAGGTAAGTTTGATTAACA